AAAAAAAAAAAAAAAAAAAAAAAAAAAAACCAAAAAAATATGCAGCCGTAGATGAAAAACATGCAAATAGCTGAAAACTTTTCCATTTAAATAGCTATGTTGCTATAACTTAGTATCTGTACAGTCATTCTAACCCTTCACTAACTTTAATCAGGAAGCATCCCATCTGATAATCATCTATATAAAATGTGATGATTTAGCAATATCCCAATCCTATTGCTTCCAATGTTTGGAAGGCCTAAATTTATATACCTTCTTTAAAGGGTCCAGAATCATGCAATAGTTTTATCACAGCCTTAACCTGCAAACAAAAGTAGTCATTTCTATCAACCAACAATTCAGAAGCATGTAGACAATGGTATGTGAACAACCTGAATCAAACCATGGATTGAAGGTTAAATGAACCAATTAATTAGGATATACAAAACGAACTCTCCATAAGAACTTATGTTTCGTAGACAAGTTTCGAAAACTAAAAAGAAAAAAGTTTTCAACCCTTTGTTTTTGTATTAAGAATTTGACTAGGAATTCCGATGTTCACTATAGTTGAGAAATTTGGAGAAAAAAACTATGTTCTTAAAGTTCTTTCTATTTTCCATGTAACAATCCATAAGTTATGTAACAGCCCAAGCCCACCGCTAACAGATATTGTCCTCTTTGGGCTTTCCCTTTCGGGCTTCCCTTCAAGGTTTTTTAACACACATCTGCTAAGGAGAAGTTTCTACACCCTTATAAAAAAATGTTTCGTTCTCTTCCCCAACCGATGTGGGACTTCACAAATTAGATTTTTGCGAACAATGCAACTTTCTGTCTATGGTTAAACCATAAATCATAAACCATAAATCATAAATCATTGGAAGAAAGAATTACACCGTTATGCCTGAATCAGTCAGAATATAAAGGGTTACCTGATTTGCTTCACGCACAAGGAAATCATCTATTGCCCTCCCGAAACCTTCATCCGTAAGATAATGACAGCTATAAGTAGTCACAGGCATGTAACCTCGTTGAATCTTATGCTCACCCTGAGCTCCTGCTTCGACTGTGTCAAGATCAAGTTCAATAGCTGCTTCTATTGCCTGCGAGGAACAACCGAAGGTCAAAGATTCGAGGTCGTTTCAGCATTTATAAACTCTGATGACTTTTGGACCTTTTATTTAGGAAATTAAGTAGAATGCATGAGAGTAACACAATTATAAATAAAGCTCATTTTGGCACCAAGGTTCCTCAGCGCAAGAAAGAAAACCGGTGATTCAAGGTTAAAACACGTCTGCTAGGAAGAGGTTTCCACACCCTTATAAAGAATGTTTCGTTCCCCTCTCTAACTGATGTGGGATCTCGCAATCCACCCCCTTCGGGACCCAATGTCCTCGCTGGTACTCGCTCCCCTCTCCAACTTATGTCGGATCTCACAATCCACCCCTCTTCGAGGCCTAGCGTCCTCACTTGTACACTGCTTGGTATTTGGCTCTAATATCATTTGTAACAGTCCAAGCCCAATGCTAGCAAATATTGTCCGCTTCGGCCCATTACGTATCGTTGTCAGCTTCACAGTTTTAAAACGTGTCTACTAGGAAAAATATCCACACCCTTATAAAGAACTTTTTGTTCCCCTTTCCAACCAATGTGAGACCTCACAATGAGGGGGAAGCCCAAAAGGAAAAGCCCAAAGAGAACAATATCTGCTAGCGGTGGGCTTGGACTATTACATGTGATATATTTTACTAAGACAAAATCTTGAGAGCAAACAAAACGAAAAGAGAGAGAATGAACTAATAGATTCACTCAACTTGAAAAGGTCGATTATATTGATGCAATGAAATAATGATACGCACACACCTGATAATAACAAGCTTCAAAATGTAAACTTGGATAGTATGCTCTAGGGTGACAACCCCACAGCCGCCCATATAAAGTATCTCCACCAATTAGATTGAGCGCTCCAGCAACAAATTCATCACCTTCCTCCGCAGTAACTAGTAACACCTGATCTCCCATCTTAGAGGCCATATTATAAAAGAAATCCCGAGTGAGATAAGGGGTGCCCCACCTACGAAGAAGCCATTACCGAATACAATTCAATATATTTTCATGCATCTACCAATTCATCATACTCAGTCAAAAAATGGCAACAACAAAAAGAAATTCTTAATCCCAATTGGCAGATAAATGAAAAAGGTTGGTAGTAAGGACCAAACTTGTTATCGGTCGTGTTCCTGTAGAATGTATAGAATGAATCCCAATGCTTATCCTGCCAAAACATTACAACAAATGATGCCTGTGCCCCTAAATCTCTTGCAGTAAGATAAGTAATGGTTGCCACAAACAACAATTCACATGTTAGAATTTACAAGAGACGGTTCATTATCATTTATTATTGTTGTCCTTTGTTATGCAAACTCATCTAGACACTCGAGTACAAGGATAATTTTTTCAATAAAATATAAACAGAGTTTTATTTTGACACTCGAGTAGAAGGATAACTTTTCGAAAAAATCGAATTTATTCAATCCTATCCAATTTTAATAAAATACAAGCAGATCCAGTTTTTACCTTTATTTCACTACCCCGGAGACGTTTCATGGTCAAATTTTGAGCCACAATCTGCCACAGAAAGTCCACAAAGATAAATTACAAATTCATAGCCACTAAAAGCTGGGGAAATTACTATACTTTTCAAATCTACAAGTAATAATCAGTAACACAGCCATCTATAAACATTAATGCAAGATCTTAGCCATAAAAGCCCATTTTTAGGGCAACTATGCATATCCAATTTATGACTTCAGCAAATTGAATGACGTTGAGTT